CTAGCTTTTTAGAGGGCAGTACAAAACAAGAGAGTCTCTTTTTAACTATTTAGAAAGTTACTCAGAGGTTCAAGAACACTTTCCATGATCAAGCAAAAAATTACCTAAACTAAAATAAAAGAAATTTTTAATAGTCATAAGCACAAACATAAATCTAAAAATCATCTGTCCAGATTTCACTCACTTGCGTGTCAAGGTGTAAGTACTGGAGTATAGGTTTGGGAAATGGTCACTGCTTGGATTTAGAGAGGTGTTAACTGCCTTGAGGTGATTTGTGATCAAAGGTGAGAAGTTTAGAGTAGATGAGCACATAAACTTCAATGTTTCGCAAGAAGACTGCCTGTCTTTAAAAAATTGGTGTACAACTCTGGTAGAGATGGTGAGTTCTCGCCTAGATTATTGGAAACACTCTGAACATGCTTTTGTCTCTGTGGCAGTCAGAAGTGATGGGCAGGAGAAGTTTTCAGAGTCATCTGACTGAACAAATAATGAATTTTATTTTTGATTCCACATATCTCCAGATGTTACAGCAAGATAAAGTATATGAGGTGGTGTTTTCATTTTCAGTCTTTGCCAGTCAGATTTAGGTATCTGCTTTGTCACACATACCAACCGATTGATTGTCTCTGCTCACCTAGTAAGGACTTTTGGAAGAAGTGTAGTTACCACAGCAGGAAGTACTTTGAGCAGTAAATACTAGGAATCAGGTTCTTGGACAGTGGTCATTAAAAGGCTTGGGGTGAATTTCATGACAGGGAGAAAACGTCTGTGAGAAAGTAACAGCTGGTTTCATTAGATTTTTCTTTCTAATGTTACCTGTTAGTAATAAGATGATAAAAGCAGATAACACTTTAAATTTTACATGAAGCTTAAAGATTTCTAATACTTGCCATGAAACTTAAGTAACACTTCTTTCTCTCTTTCTTATTGCAGTCAGCAACTGTTTCTGATGGAGGTAAGCTAAACCTCGTTTTTACTTTTATAGTAAAAAATAATCAATTTTCCACATTAAGCAACATAATAGGTGGTAAATAATGTGATCTATTACAAGATGTAAGTCTAAAGTGGTGCAGAGCTCTGTGACTTCTTTGGGAACTGTGCCAATGAAAATATTGCAGGATTGTGTTCACATACTTTCACCAGTTTATTTGCATAATATTTTTATGGCACATTTATATATGCATGTTTTTCTTATAGCTAGGCTTCTTCATTCATAAGAATAAAGAGGCAGAGCTGGTAGATTTTCCTGTAATTGGATGGTAGATAAAATCTCATTCTCTGTTTTATTGTCCTTTACATACCCTGTTCACTTTTGAAGAGATGCTCTAGGTTCTAAGTTGCAAGCTGTGTTGATGCATTTATTGAGGTCAAAGTCTTTTAACAGTGTGATGCATTTTGAGAAGGGGGTAAGTAATTTGGTATTTGTACAACCCCAGCATGGAGGTTTTGCACTTCTGGAATACTTTTAAGTAAACTCCTCTTTATTGCACCTAAGCTTGTTTGTTTTGAACATGCCTTTAGTGTTTTAAAGGATGTCCACTCTTTGTTAAACGTTAGAAGATGATTTCTCTGAAGCTTTGAAGTTAATTGAAACAGTTTAAGTGTGCTTCCTTAATAGAATAAAGGAATTTGTATAGTTTAGGGTATGCAGGAGATAGCTTTTCTCCTTGTCTTCCCTGGCAGGAGTTGGTTCACTTGATCCTGCAGAGAAACTCACATACATACATAGTATTACATTTGCTGTTCTTTGACAACAGTACAAGACAATTTTATTACATATAAAATGCAAAAAGGGTCAAACTGTGTTTCTGTAATTAGTGCAGTGAAATTGAAGAAATATTTTGAATGGTAAGGATCACTTTTTTTTATATTACATGCAAATGTAAATGCAAAATTAGTAATACTATTCACAAAACTTCATCATGTCCTAATTTGGCTCCTCACAAGACTAAAACTACATTTGAGAGAAACGTTGCTGTTTTGGTCCTTTTGCCAGAACCATTTTCCAATGTCTGGCTGACTTTGTCAGGTATTTTCCTTCTCTAATGCTGACATAGTCTACTGCTGTACAGTACTTCTGTGTGAATGAGAAGATAAGACCCTATATTGTATCTGTCTTGTCTGGCAGTGGCAATGCAAGAAAAGAGAAAACAGTGTTTATTCTGCTTTCTATTCCTAAAATGTAGTATGTGTTTTTGTGGGAAAAATATTTACTTTCCTCCCAGATGTTACCTGCTTGGTATAACAATCAAAACAAAGCACAGACTTCCTTTTTTTAAAATTAATTAAATTTCAGATACTGAGGGCCAAAAGATTAATCTTTTTTAGCTAAAATGGAATATACTTGTGTCTTGTCTCCATGAGGGTTCTTGTCCTATGTTAATGAAAATTATTTTACTTGTGTTGCATATCCAGTCATAGGAGAGTCACTTCAAGGTTTTTATGCTTACAGCTGAAATTACTTTTGTATCACATTCCAAATCCAGAGATAGCTGTTTTCACAATTAATTCTATACCGCTTTGTGAAGTCATGAAATCTAAGAGCTATGTAGGCTGCAGATTTGAAAGATCAGCCAAGAAGTTATATGCAATTTTCAGCTGAGTTGTATTGCTTATTTTTTCAGTTATTGCAGAAAACTTAACATGAACTCTCTCTTCATTGTTAAATGATACTTAAGGAGAGGAGAGGGTAGTCAAACTATACTGAATAATATTGAATTGGTGCTTAAATACCCAGAAAGTGTGTCGGAAAAATAAGAACCAGAGAGACTGTAACCAGTAAAACTGAAATTAAATAAATTCATAATTAATTTCATTTAGGGCTGCATTGAGTAGAAAGCACTTATTCATGTCTGTATTGCATTTTCTAGCTTTTACTTTTATTGAGCATATCTCAGTGCTGAAATTTTTCCAATCTTCCTTAATCTCACTAATGCATTAATAGATCTGCAGATTTACACATTTTAGGGCATGTCTAGTTCAGAGAAATTTTCATCAGTGTAACCATTAGTACAGCAGTGCATACTTCCCTTCCTAGTCTAAATCTTTATCATCATAGAATCACAAAATGGTTTGAGTTGGAAGGCGCCTTGAAGGTCATCTTATTCTAACCCCCCTGCCATGGACAGGGACACCTCCCACTAGCCCAGGTTGCTCCAAGCTCCATCCAACCTGGCCTTGACACTTCCAGGGACAGGATGTCCACAGTTTCTCTGGGCAAGCTGTTATAGTGTCTCACCACTGTCACAGCGAAAAATTTCTTGTCTAAATCTACACACTTTCAGTTTAAAGCCATTGCTCCTTGTGTCACTCCATGCCCTTGTCAAAAGTCACTCTGCAGCTTTCTTGTAGCCCCTTTAGGTACTGGATGGCTGCTCTAAGGTATCTCCTTCTCTTCCACGTTACTTTACTAATTAATATTAGTATTTGTACATATGACTAGATACTATAAATGCTGTTCTTAATCTTTAGTCTGGGAAGGAAATTAATGTATACAAATAATTCGTATGTGTTTATATACATCCCTTCAGTATAATAGGAGGCACAACAGATCTCTGTACATTTTCTTTCCATGGTCAATGAAGCCTTATGCCCTATGGCTTTTATTGCATTGGAGCCAGGCTCTGGAAACCATCTACCCCTTGTTGTGTTTATTTTGCATGGTTCTCAGCTTGTGCAAGGCTGGGATGTTCTTATCAGCCAAAACTATGCACTTAGGCTTTGCAGGATAAGTAACATGTAGAAGATAGAGGTACATAAATTAGTGCTGCTTCCAGAGATGCTGACCAGGAGCAACTCGTAACTGTAATTGATTTGCTTAATGAATTGCAGGCAATCAGAATACAAACTGTAATAATGCTTAGATGCAAGATCACTGCTATAGATCAACTAATCTGCAGCACCTATGCTCTAGGAATAGCAGAAATGGTTTTATGTTACTGCAGCGACCTGTAATTAGCAGGTTTCTCTTACTTCCCAGCTCAAACTGCCCTTTCCTGCTG